CAACTGTATTATTATTATTACCACCATTTTGATCATTGTATGTTGTATATTGAAAACTACAATTCATATACGGTTCATAACAAAGATACTACTCAAGCTTATTTGTTGAATTATTACTTACAAAACATATCCTTTAATTGCATCATTAAGCAATGTTTAATACCATGCTAAAATCACAATATTAAAAGTTAATATTGCAAAAAATCTATTTATGTACTGATGGGTAAATAGATTTTTTTGTAGTGGTTTGTTTAGTGTCATTTCAGGAAATTGAATGGTATTATTTAGATGGAACAAAAATTAACATACATTTTTTCCATAAGAAATAGCAGAAAATACTTTCCAATATCCAAACTCCTAATATTCAAATTGAGGAAATCATTAGATGTGAATAATAATGTAAGGTTTGACAACGTTAAAGGGAATAAAGTCTATCTCGTGTCAGAATGAGCCTAAGGGAAACCGTGTATGTGGGCGGTGGCAAAGGAGGAAAATGAAGAACAAGTGTTTTACAAGAGAAAACCTGTTTATTTGTTCAAATTCATGCTTACATCGATATTGGACAATTCCAAAATCTCGGTGTTCCTATGAAACGGTGAGAGTTCGGGTGATCGGTCATAGCCCGGATGGACGAGAAGGATCGCTGGACGATGCAGATATTCAGTGTTAAGCTGTGGCATCCTAGGTGATTGGCAGTGGCACAACACAACAGACAAAGCACAACTGTAGGCTTGATCCAGAGGAGACTTTTCTTCGACCTTGAAGTTCCAATTTTTATAGTTTTCCCCCCACTATTCACATTTCGGATTGGTCCCTCGTCCCATTCTCGCTTCCCGATTGGTCTCTCCTTTGTCTCCAGGTGCAAGACGAAACCTTTTTGGGTTGCAGGAAAAGTCCAATTTGAGGTGTCCATCTGAAACCTCTTTGTCGACTCTGCTCGGTGACTGTTTATAAAACAATAACACCTGCACTCATAACTCAGGCCATTGTTTACCATTTTTTGACATCTAAGAATTTAATGATCATTTTCATCTTTCATCTATCAAAAATTTCCCTTTTTTTTGCTCGAAAAGGTTTATCTCGGCCAACATTTTATAGACTCGCGAGTCGATGATCTACCTATTTATGAGCACTAGTATTAGAGTTTGTCTTCCGCTAAGACCTTGACAGATAGTTTGACACATACTCGAACCGTTCGAAGTCTTGTTGTTTACATCTTGTGTCACGCAAGAATTTCATGGTTTACTCGAGTTTGAACCTCGTCTGGGAACCCACAATAAGATATAGCTGTATGTATATATATTTTAAAATTCATGTAAATTCACATACTGTATCTATATATATAACCCATTGAACGCGTGTCCGTCCATCCGTCCACATAACATATGCCAAAAACAGGCACTAGAGGTGCTCCTATCGTGTGTCATATTTCAAACATTTAAATTAACAATATAAATTATTATTATTCATTTGGCCAATAAATTACTATTTGGTCAATATAACAATATAAATACTTCAGTATATTTGTAATAGGAATTTATTATTTCAGGGGCTTGTATATCGCGAAGGGTCGCGGAGCGAATAAAAAAAAAAACGGATAGGTTTGAACCCAAGGTCTAAGACGTTGGGTTTGAATGACTATGATAAGAGAATAAGGTTTGAAATATATAATAAAGTTAAAGGATGATAAAATATTTTTATGTAAGCACGAAATAAACTCCCGTTTACCTTTAACATCGCCGCCATTTTACCGGTGATAACCTCTCGTTCTCAATGTTTTTATTCATTCGTTGCAGTGGGAAAAATAATCATTTCTCATAATTTCTTGATAAAACCTTTCAAAAATATAATATAATGTAAAAAGATATAGCATTAAAACTTCTTTTGTATTTAATCTATATCTATGAAGTAAAAACATTTTAAATTAAAGCTTAGGTTTAAATTTACTGATGAAATTATGATCTATTTATAAATTACAAAAATGCAAGCAAAAAATAATTCAAACTAAAATCCAAATAATTTCATCATTTCCAAGTACAATATTATGAAAAGTAAACTTTTATCTTATAATTTACACTATAGAAATTTACATTTAAGAATCAATATATTCATAATATAAAATTTTAATATTAAATTTTTAAGTGGATATTTATTTTATAAATAATGTTTATAATATATACTATATACACACAGAGTGCAGACAAAAAACATCAGAATCAAAGTGTAGCCTGGTACAATGTATTACCTAAATACAAGTGTACAAGCATATAGGTAATCAGTATTGTGCTATTTAATGATGTAATCACCATGTATCCCAAACTCCCTACTCTTGTGGCCAAATCTAGCTTAGCTCCTATAAAAGATAGCAGTACAGTTTAAATTACAAAATTGTAGAACATCTCAAAATTACTACAAAATGTTTTTGTCCAGTTAAAATACTAAAAGAGAAAACAGCTGAACATTGTCATAAAATGGATGAGGCTTCTTTGAATGGTTTCACATAATCAAAGCAACCAACTGTCAAAAAATGCCTTAGGGAATACAACATCAACAGCGCGTAGCTGTATGTCTCAACACAAAACAGAAATGTAACACCTGATGAGGGGTGCAAGATACACAAAATATTGCACCCGAAATGCATAGTGAATATAAAGAATAAAGAAGATAACACTCAGAAGTTTTGTCTCTGATAAAATGCGGTCCAGACAAAAAAATGTCGGTTAACTTCTTCGGATCTAACCTATGATGTTTCATCAATTTTTTGGAGAAATAATTTTTTTAAAAAATTGACATTCAAAAGAATACATAAAAAAACTGCACCATTGATATAATACATATCTATTACTTATATTGTATAAAAGCAATTAAATACAAACAAAATCTTTTATCCAGTAACAGAAATTCAACAAAAATTCCAAACATTTTCGTTGAAGTTCTGTTACTGCATAAAAGGTTTTGTTTGTATTTAATTTAATTACTCCAGTAATTTGTTAAGAACATAGTTACAATGTATAAAAGCAGCAGACTCTGGGATTATTATTATTTTAATGGGAAAATTTTAATTTTTGAAACATTTAATGCTACAGAAGAATAAACTGTGCTTGAAGTTGGCTACTTTAAATGCATGAGGCCATGCAGAGAAGCTTCTCACAGTTTTCCCACCAATTTTTTATTACTGTCCAGCTGCTTTCCCTTTGAGATTTTAACTAGACAAAAATATGCTTAGTAATAATTTTGAGATGCTCTACAACTTTGTAATTTAAACTGTGCAATTATTTTTATAGAAGAAAGATAGAATTTGGCCTCATGAGAAAGGAAGATTGGATGGCATGGCAACTAACCCATTGAATACCCCATTACTGATTATCTATGCTCTTAAACACTTATTTAGCTAATACAAAATTAGAAGCAAGATATTGCCTAGTACAATTTTTTGTCTATATATATAATACATACACATATATATTAGTAAAATAAAAACTATTGGCTCAGACAAAAATCTTTCAAGAATAAATTATCTTATCTTATAAATTTTGCTTTTAATTAAATTTGTACTTTAAACCATTGCTTTAAAACTGTTATTGTTTTGAATAAATTCAATATATTATAATGTAGATATGTTCTATATTGTAACAAAATAAGATAAATAATTATAATAATGGATTACTAATTCACTTCTATCTGATTAATTATTTACTTTAGTGGCCAGATGGCCAAGTGGTCAAGGTGGCAGCCTACCACTCTGGGGGACTCGGAATCAAATCCAGAAGAGTCAAAAAAATCCCCAGAAATTTTTCGACCCATCCAGATATGTCAGGCCCCGTCCCTCACCATCCAGCCACCCCATTGCAGGCCTATCTGAACCCAAAATGGGTTTGCTAAAAGAGGCTCTCTTTCTACCCATAGGACAGAAAGAATTAAAATAATAATAATAATTTGCTTGCATTTTCAATATTTTTTATCAAAAAATTAGGCATACTGTATATTATAAATTAAATTTTTATGATATAATAAAAACTAGTTTAAAATGTAATGAAATTTGAATACAAATAAGAAGATTAAAAAAATTATTTTGTGCTGTAATGATTTCTTTAATTATTTTTATGTACTGTACATTCTAATGTACTAAGAATAAACAATTATACATATATATAATAAAATTATCAGTGTTAAACAAATATATTAATAATTTATTGTTATTATTAAAAATTAATATTTAAGTTTATTAAGTATAATTACTTTTTTTATAGATTAAATATAGTTTAATCTATTATTGCAACATACTTTACATTCACTTTATCCAAAAATTGATAATCTTCAAAACAAATTCAACTGTCAAAAACTATTAGTATAGAACAATGAACTTAAATATCATAGAAATGATCAGCATACTGGTAAAGTATAAAAGAGATCTTCAATTATTGTTTTAAAATAAGATTTCACAATATTAATAAATAAAATGAAATCAAAAAAGAGAGTAAATGTTCTAAACTCTTGAATAGGTGAATAATCATAAAACATCCTGACAATCTTTTGTCTGTAAAAAAAAAATTTAGATAACAACACACATCTAAGTTTAAAGGCCTGTAGCTGTAAACACAATTTATTTTTAAAATGTAAAACAAAATAAAAATATAAATAAGAAGTTTATTTTTGATTTTTATGACCAATTCTGATATTAGGACACATTCATTCACAACAGTTGACCAAGCTCAATTTTCTTAAGTTTGTGTTATTTGTACAAGTGTGCGTATTAAGTAAAAGTTATAAAAAGAAACATTACAATAAAGAAAAGACGAAGTTTTTTGATTCTTTGTATAGTAAATATATATATTACGAATAAACAAACATTTTTGACGATATTGAATAAACACTTTTTCCAGATGTATTTTTGAACTTCTTCCTTAATTATTAAAGTCACGCAGCGCAAAAAATATATATAATAAAGTTAAAGGATGATAAAATATTTTTATGTAAGCACGAAATAAACTCCCGTTTACCTTTAACATCGCCGCCATTTTACCGGTGATTGTAAAAAGATATAGCATTAAAACTTCTTTTGTATTTAATCTATATCTATGAAGTAAAAACATTTTAAATTAAAGCTTAGGTTTAAATTTACTGATGAAATTATGATCTATTTATAAATTACAAAAATGCAAGCAAAAAATAATTCAAACTAAAATCCAAATAATTTCATCATTTCCAAGTACAATATTATGAAAAGTAAACTTTTATCTTATAATTTACACTATAGAAATTTACATTTAAGAATCAATATATTCATAATATAAAATTTTAATATTAAATTTTTAAGTGGATATTTATTTTATAAATAATGTTTATAATATATACTATATACACACAGAGTGCAGACAAAAAACATCAGAATCAAAGTGTAGCCTGGTACAATGTATTACCTAAATACAAGTGTACAAGCATATAGGTAATCAGTATTGTGCTATTTAATGATGTAATCACCATGTATCCCAAACTCCCTACTCTTGTGGCCAAATCTAGCTTAGCTCCTATAAAAGATAGCAGTACAGTTTAAATTACAAAATTGTAGAACATCTCAAAATTACTACAAAATGTTTTTGTCCAGTTAAAATACTAAAAGAGAAAACAGCTGAACATTGTCATAAAATGGATGAGGCTTCTTTGAATGGTTTCACATAATCAAAGCAACCAACTGTCAAAAAATGCCTTAGGGAATACAACATCAACAGCGCGTAGCTGTATGTCTCAACACAAAACAGAAATGTAACACCTGATGAGGGGTGCAAGATACACAAAATATTGCACCCGAAATGCATAGTGAATATAAAGAATAAAGAAGATAACACTCAGAAGTTTTGTCTCTGATAAAATGCGGTCCAGACAAAAAAATGTCGGTTAACTTCTTCGGATCTAACCTATGATGTTTCATCAATTTTTTGGAGAAATAATTTTTTTAAAAAATTGACATTCAAAAGAATACATAAAAAAACTGCACCATTGATATAATACATATCTATTACTTATATTGTATAAAAGCAATTAAATACAAACAAAATCTTTTATCCAGTAACAGANATAAATCGAGCAAAAATAAATTACCCTATATAAAATATTTCGTTTGAATTTTCAAGAAAAAGTGAATATTGCGGATTTTTATACAATAAATTTTTTATTTCTTTCTCTTTTCGAAAGAAGAGATGATTGTTGTATTAAATTATGGCAACATTGGATGATGCTTTCCGGGGGTCATTTTAAGGGTAATTGGCCTCTATTCAGGCGTTACAGACGTGCAGAAAACCCGGAAAACTCCACGTGGCCACTCCATCTTGTCGGGGCGTGAACCCACGACCAAATTGCCAATATTCAGGGAATGGAACCGCTTGGCCATTAGTGCTGCATGATGACATCCATGACACGATTATCGTAAATGGTTTCATACTTCGATTGCTCGTGTTTACGATTGTTTAAAAATATCGATGATTGATGGTTTTAAGAATTTAAGAACTTTCTTAAATCGTGAATTTAAGAAAGTCGACTTTAAAAGTAATGCATGTTTTGCTAGAGCTGTAAATTTCATCAACGCACAACTTAACTCACAACCAATCATTAACTATAAACGTGAAGTGATTGAGAACAATGATGCAGCTGTGACTTGTGGGCTCACAGAAACGTAAAAATCAGAAGTAGTGACAGGGGATCAGAAAATTCTTTAACCATAAAATCTTCATTAAATTAAAACATTACGTAAGCATGGCTATTTCAGTGCACACCTCTGACCACTTGGCATTTTGGAAAGACATGTGAGATACTGATCGAAATCTTAGCATTATAATCATTATGAAATATCATAATGATTATAATGCTGACAGCACACCCGCAACTTCAATGCCGTCGGAGAGATTGTTTTCTAAGGCAGGGTTTATTATTAATAAAAAAACGAGCAAGTCTGAGCCCAAAGCACATACAAAAACTATATACTAATATTAAGTTCTATGAATTTTGGAGATCTTTATGAATTAACAGTTTAATTTGTTCCTTTTGTAAGAGCTGCTTATACTCATGTACAGTACTGTACAGTACCGTACCTATTGCAATAACAAATGTCAATAAAACTTTTAAGTTAACTCTTAACTTAAAAGTTTTATTCAAATCTATTGTCGATTCAGCCAGGTCCACTTACATTGCGACCTGAGTGAACCGATCGTGTCCTCCAGAAAGACAAATCTCCTTGGTAGATGCATTACCGTATCTAAATGTATCCAAACCAAACCAAACCAAACCGAGACATTCCTCCTATGAAAAATTCCCGGGGAGTTGCTCGCTCTCCACGATTCGATCTCGGATCTCCCGGAGCTGAAACATTAAATGGCAGTGGCGTGCCGTCATTAGAAGCGTTGGAAGCGCCGCTTCCCTCGTATTCTCTAAAAAATAAATAAATATTAATTTTAATTATATGAAAATAATCGCACAATATTTTGTTATAACCGCATTATGTATCTTATTATAATTTTCTATACTACACGTGAAAAAAAACAAAAAAAAAATTGCTATTGTATATTAGAATATTAGTGACGGAGTGTAATCTCCTGTATTTTCAGATTACAAAAAGCAAGATTTGCGCATGCGCTTTACAGAACACCAACCTCACCCGGTGTAGCCGGTGGAAGCCTACCACCTTGGGTGAAAGCTGCACACATATAAGATTACAACTCTGTCAAGGACCGGTTCTGGGCTGTTAGCCGCCTGCCCACTAGATATTTCGATTACGTGAATAATGAGTAGATTTATAACTTAACCCAACCGATAAGAATTTACTGGTATGTTTTTACGATAGTTCTGTATAGTTGACAGGAGTTAAAAAAATGCATTAAAATATTTGATAGATTTATTCCGCTTTCCGATTTTATATTACTCACGGATTTCGATGTTAAACCAGTGATATTACGATTTCGTACATCCCATCTTTAAGGGAGTGTAGAAAAAAACGTGTACAATTCTTGTATAATGTTAAAAAATTAACTGTTACTTTGGTAGCATCATTTACAACTAAATTTAATGAATGAGAGAGATGCACCAGGTACAGAAAAGGCTCTAGAATTTATTTTCCTTAAATTTACGATTTATGTATCTGTTTGTCATAAAAATTTGTCTTTCCACTTTTTCCCGAGACTACAAATATTCGAGTACAAAGTAACTGGTTTCGACTTATTTCTACTTAAGTAGTAGTTAAATAATTAAGCGATTAGGGAATTGGGGACATAAACAAAACCCTGATGAAAGAGCCGGAATATTACTTAAACAAAAGCTTAACCGAATCAATCTCTAGCCGAGTACAGTGGGGACTGATTTCTTCGAAATACTGTATTAGATGTAATAAAGACAGACATTTTTCCAGTTCGACGAGAGTGACCGAAAAGTTGTAAATTTTGGAAATTTCCGCGGACAACACCTGGTCCTAAAACGAATTAGTTAGAAAACAAAAGACGGAAATCTATTAAGTTTAACATTTAGACTTTTACAGCTATGATGAGAAACGTTTAAAATTTACAACAACCCTGTCGCGTCTTTTGAGGTATATTAGTGATGCGACAAAAGAAACATTTGACATTGCCAAATCCCGAGGGTATCGGCACCCTCGGGATTTGGCAGCCCGCGTGCATGTACAGTACACACCGCACACCTAGCAGGACCGTCTCTGATTCCACTCGTAGGGAGCTATTTGACTAAGTGGTTAAGATTTAAAGAGTAAAGAATATTTTATGTTATTTTCATGTACGTTTCATTACAAAGTTATATTTAATTATAATTTTCTTTAAAAGTATATTCATACAATTGAAGAATGTTTTGTACCAGGTATGTATATCCACCACACATTTTATTTCACCAAGTAAGTTTTTATAATTTTATTTTTAATTTTAGCCCTTATATCGTGGCTAGCGATTCGGAATGTAATTGCGATATTGAAAATTTATTTTAAAAAAGTTTTGGCTCGAGATCATATAATGAAAAAGAAAACATTATTAAAAGAGAAAGGCCAATGCCTAAGTTAAATATAAACGCTTCAATAAAAAAATTTGTTCGATATTTTCACGATAAAATGGCTCTGTAAATGCATAAAAATGCATTTACAGAGTGAAATTAGTGTGTGGAATAAGAATGTCTTTGACAATTTAGCTGGCAAAAGACACGAAAAATCGTCGATTCTTTCGTATTTGAAGCAATTTGGAAATCGAAGCGGAATAGAATTTAACATTAGTAAATAATATAAAATAAATATTGAAAATTGTAACGAGATAATTATGGGTAATAGATATATTATATCTAAATAAATAGATGTTATATGTTTTTATCAAAGCAAGAATTGGCATTTAGAGGGCATATGGAATATATTGGATCTAATAACAGAGGTAATTATAATGAACTTGTTTATTAAGTACGTCAGATAAATAATCTATTAAAAATACATTTAAAGAAAGAATTAACTGATTGCCCCTGGATGTCGGCTTCTTATAGAAACACAGCTTCCCTATCATCAAATGTCACGGCACGCCCCTGTTAAATGCCCAGATAGGCAAGTCCATCTGGCTGTTATCTGGCATTTAAGGTCATCTGACTGTCATTAGACAGCCATCTGCCATTTAAGGTCCCTCTGGTCAAAGACAAAGATAGTTAAGGCGTAGCCTACTACTCTTGTGAGACTCCGGAAGTGGGTCGAAATTAGTGCACAGAAAATGTTTTTAATTTCGTATAAAAAAAATTTTAATAATTATAATTATTATTTTATATTGTAAAAAGAAATCATCAAACGCAAAATGAATATTTTATGTCCATATAAAGTCATATCTGTAGAAATTTCTGAGAAAAAACAAATTTCTCAGAAAGAAACAATAGATGAATTTGAGTACTTAGATCGAACATCTTCGATAGGAATCAAATTGTCAGTCGGAGTTCACTCATCCCACGATCTGGGCTCCGATCTCGTTACAATTCGTAACTGGGAGGGTCACCTCCCAGTTACG